ATATGAAGTGATTAATAACCAACGAGCGCGTAGCGCGAGTTGGTTATGATCACTTCATATCCAACAAGGTCGAATGGAATAATTGTTTTAGTATATTCTCAAATCGGGTTTTTGCCGCCGATTTTTATTTCAACAATTTTACAAAGCGGTGAAAAAAACATACAACTTCCGGTCACATGCGCGCCGTGATCACCTGATTATTACATCACTGAATGAGCTGAATGAAATTTGACAGCTTCACAAACGACAAACTGTGGTCAACTGTTAAACAAAATCAACCTTGAAATATTCAACCGTTCAAATGCAAGGGAAAAAGACCGCTTCGGAAGCTTTCAAGTGTTTAAATAGTGTTCAAAGTTCAGGAAGATTTTCCTGATTCTCCGCCTCCGTAGTAGTTGTGAACTTGGACATTGCAGTTGAAGAAAACCTGCGGAAAGCTTCTTCGCTCGCTTTGCCGAACCTCGGTGTTTACGAACTGATTTTGGACTAAAACTGTCCCTTCACTTTGAGGTTGCCGTTCTTGCTGGCCGTGGCATTGGTTTTCTTTCTCAGCTGCAGAGATACCAGTGCATGGGGAAGCTTCAGAGGCTCCGGCTGAGACAAAATCACTGAGAACGTGCGACATCTTCTTTTGCTGTTCTATGGATGGGCGATCATTGTACGATTCCACCGCCTGGTCTGATCTGTGTCCCGTAACAGACTTTATGTGTCTGGTTTCACAGTTATGGTCAGACAGAACTGTAACTGCTGTCGCCCTGAGGCAGTGGTTGGTTAGATGGGGCTCTATGCCAGCTCGCCTGCTCATATTTTTCAACATGTTGTCCAGCATGCTCGAGCCAACCGGCGAGTTGCAATACCAGATTTTGTCATCTGTTGGACTGAATTTCTGACTTTGGCCGTCTCTTGGTTTTTGGAAAAGAGCTTCGGAACTCGGGTTCAGGTGATGTAGGTAGTTTTTGATTGTTTTCACTGGGCACCTCTGAGAACCAGCAACGGCAAAGATCTTCGCGTCGGATTCATCCTCAGAGTCTCCAAGGCCGCCTTGATGATTTTTTGTGCTGCGCAGTGAACCAGGCTGTCGTCTGTTTAACTCAAAATACTCGACACCTCTAGGCGTTGTTCTTAGGGAGAGCATTCCAGGGTTCAACTGCCGCTGATTTTCTCTTCCTCGTCGTCCGAAGAAAAGGGTGAGATAAAACCATGCCGTTCTCTGCAGTTGGGCTGGATTTTGACTGTCGGCCGGCCCAAGTTCGCCGCTTTCAAAGAGCCTCTGGATTTGATCTTTTGACACTGCTTTCTTATGGACAACTCCAGCTATTTTACCCGTCTTTCTGAGATCCTTTACAAAGGCATCCAAAACTTTATTGGCTTCGGTAAACACAGCGTCGGAGATGATAGAAAAAGGCTTGTTGTTTGGTGGCGAGCGAAGAAAGCGATCTATGGCGGCTCGAATGGACTTCATGGATGTGTTTTTGTAATACCTCCCGTCTTTCTTCCTTGCGGAGGTGTAGAAACATTTAAGGCATTCATTTAGCTCCTCTTTGGACATGTCTTCAATTCGTTTCGAAAATTTTGTGGCAACAGGACTTGACAGCCATTCTGTAAATAACGAGGTAAGAATTTTTGTCGTTGTTACGAATAAATTATCAAAATATCGACAGTGAACGTAACAATTGTTGCTAGTTTTTGAGTAAAACTCCCACATACGTACCATTAAATATGTTCATGCCGAACTTTGTGGCTTTCTTCGTTTTTTCTGGGATAGCATTGTCTAATATCTCTTGAAGTTTAGAGGGAGACAGCTCCTGAAACCTGCCAGTATCGGCCATTATGGAGAGCTGAAGTTAAAAACTTCGTGCGGAAAATTTTTAAACTTGGTGCATTATTTTCCATATTAGGTAAAACTCCGACTAATGGCTCATAGTCGGAGTTTTTGAGCCAATTAGAGAGCTAGAAATGCAATAGTCGGAGCTGAGAATATACTAATGGCTGATAGTATACGAGTAGATCAGCCCAATCAGATTGTAGCATTTGCATTAGTTTAATAGTAGAATTATACTAATAAGTATTAGGAAACAGTCCTAAGAAAATACGCGCGCTGATTGGTTAAAAATCGTGTTTCTATAGCTCGATGGAAACACAAAACTAGCACGAGCTGTTGACGTAATGATGGCGCGAGCATAGAGAATTTACACTTTGATAATCAAAGTCAAGAAGCTGTTTTCCTTTTTTTCGTCGCGGTTTTTTTCTAAAAGAAATATAAAACATGTTCTCCGTGTTTCTATTGAGTTATAGAAACACTCGTGAAAGTTTGGGAGAACTCGAAAAAGCTGTGGAAACACTCGCCTACGGCTCGTGTTCCCACAGCATTCCTCGTTCTCCCAAACTTCCACTTCGTGTCTCTAAAACTAGACAGAAACACGGTACGTGCTTTCTATTTCTTAAATATATCAAACAAGAAAGAGTGTAATAATAAAGTATACTATCGTTTGTCTCACGATGTAGTCACTTGAGATGTGAATCGGGACGTTTCGACTGCTTACTGCTAGTCTTCTTCAGGCGATAAGGTCGACTGATTGC